TGTAGCTGATAAAATTGTTATTTGATCTCAATTTGAAACCATGAAGCACTCCACAACACTTTTGCAAGACTGCTCCAAAGTCTTTCTTCAGCCTTAGGTATTCTAAATAAATAAAATTAAGTCTCCTTTACTTTGAATTAAAAAAAAAAAAAAGCATTATTGACTCTGACACTCTCTCCTACCTTCTGAACCATATTCAGGATTGTTACACTCTTGATATCGCTTGGAAAAAGGTATTAAAATTCTCTCCCTCTCTTGAGTTTCTCCACTCAAATGGAAAGCCATAAGGAACTTCTGTAGAGCCTCTGTAATAGTCTCATTTTGAAAATCAAAGAATTTGAGGTATTCAATAGCCACTGCTTTTCCATATAATGTGCTGAAATAAAAATTGGGATAAATTTGTTGTAGTTGAATGACAAAGATAAGAAATCTTGAGCTCAGTAGTAGAATAACAAAACATTTAGTTTTTGCCTCATAACAGGAATCAGACAACAAAAATGTGAATCTCCATGAGGAATCAAACAGCACTTTGTCCCACCCTTGTGAAATTTTTTTCTTTCTTTGCTTTTTTTTTTTTTTTTTTTTTCTGTAGAGTGATTCACATTTATCAATTTACATAATCCATCACTGACAAAGAGAAGAATAAACAAAACACTGTCAACAAGGAAATCCCTGACTGGGAAAGAAACCTGCTTCATCATACCTCTCCCCCATCCTTTGCCCTTATAATTGAACTCTAGGAAAACCTCCACATCCCTGGGATTCCAGATCCCTGGGATTCCAGAGTGCAGCTCTATCAGTTTTATAGCTATTGGAATTTTGCTAGATGTGAAAAAAAAACTAGTTCCAAATCTCTGTGGAATTTGAAATATAACATGCTCTGTCATATCCTTAAAGTTAATTACTTTCTTTATTTAGGATATTTTCCTTGTACTATTTTGTCCTTTAAGTTTTATAATTACAGCATTTGCATGCATAAATTGTTTGTTCTGTACAACTTGTAGTTATTTACATTTTAATAGAATTCTTAAATACGAATTGCTGATTTTACCCTTTTTGAATAAAAAAATATAATTTATCCCAACAAAAATTTTGAAGTACATGGCAGTCAAATGTTGCGCAAAGAGATTGAATGATTCAGGATTCAATACAAGTTCAAGGTTCTTAAGCCGAGAAAAGAAAAAGAATAAACACCAAAACAACAGATTTAATCTGTTGATACCATTTATCAGTACTAGAGGAAGAATGCATGCAATAGAATTGTTACTGCCATTTATTCAATTACATCTTTCCAGGTATAACTCCAGGTATGCTTTCTAAAATTAGCTTCCCACCGAATTTCAAGCAAAAACTGCGAGCACTGTCAACAGATACAATTAGATAATTTCAGAGCTCCCTTTCAACGGATGGCTGTAACATTTGTCCTCTCAGCACGACAGCAATTACTCGGGGCAGCTACAAGATTTCATGTACGCCCTGAAGTCTGTAATTAAAGATTAGGACCAACATCTCATCTCTTCGACCCGGTCTTTCCAATACGCGTTCTTTCCGTTTCCTTTTTCAAAATTAAACACAGCTTTATTTGTTGAACTAACTTGACATAAATTGGCTGAGTTTGCACACATACAATTACAAAAGAAATGTGTACAAACTTGAAGGAAAACATTTGTGAGATGTTTTTCATTTCGAAACACAAGGTGATTTTGAACTCACCTAACTGAATAACTCACGATTTAATATAAATGCAACTATCGTTCGTCATTGCGCATAGAGTAATATATTTTCAAAATAATTTTCCCCCACGATCTATCATGAAACATGCATTTTTCACAGGAGGGTCCTAATTTTAATACGTTCATTCTAGGAGATGGTTGTTTTTGTGAAAGTTATGACACTCGTGCAAAAGATTGTAAAAACGAACACTTGAAAAGCAAGCCAATATGGACGATCCAAGCATATGGATTAAAATAAATTGATTTACTTGTAAGTTTTGTATTTTAATCAAGGAAGGCCGGGAAAGTAAATTAAAATTCGCCTGCATGTGCGCCTCGAGACGAACTTTGCCACGTTGAGTCGATGTCATCAGGCACTAAGAAAACTTAAACTCAAGAGCAATCCTTCCAATACACGAATCTCTGCGATCAAAAAACAATCACGTCTAAAAATTATAATTTAACAATAAATTAACTGTCATATTTCGTATAGAAATCCGCAATGTTATGAATTGAAACGAAGCTGATAAAACTAACCACATCTCACCTTTCCTGTTAGTTGTGCGGATCCATTGTGAACCAAAGCACATACCATAGGTGGCAGATGCGTATCAACTCCACCGATGACACTAAAACCAAATCCACCGAGAGGATGTCTTTCTAGCTCCACATATGTGTCATGAGCCATTACAAGACTCCTTCTTGCTCACTCGGTAGATTCATTCTCGTCGCGTCGGCGAGGTTGTTATTCAAATTCGGAGCGTCAGAGATCACCCGCGTATTCTTCGGCTTTATTCGGAATGACAACGAGCATCGACGAACATTACCCGAATTCTCAAGGACAGTTTCCTGAGCACTACGAGGGCGATAGGTCAAAAGAAGTTGTGCCTCCAAATAAGATCTAACAAAAGCAAGCCATAAGGACAAGGAGTAAATGATATGCAATGTCGTCCTCGTGCTTTGTTGATTTTTGTGGTGGTTACTTCAGTAAGAAACAACATATGTTTCCGGAAGTGCGTCACACAAACTCTCTCCGGATGAGTATTGCAATTATAAATCTTAAAATTTCAAACGCACATTCTCCCATAACCAATTTATTATTAAAATTATAGTAAATTTTTTATCATTCTGGGGGAACTTTTGCGAAACACCTCTCAGACACGATTAACATAACCGGAAATTGCTTAACTTTCAAGAGGACCGGTTTTAAGTCATCACGTGACATTCATGGGACATTAAAGATCACACAATTACAACCATTTGTTTGCCTCGAAACTTCTGTCGACTTTGACCATGTTAGACAAAACGCTATGGGAGCAATTTTTAGATGTAGTAGAACCTCATTTACCGGAATATCTTCACTGGAATGAAATATGTGTTAGTTGTGAACTGTGATGTTTACTGTCGATAGCTAAAGAGTACTTCGCTGGTGTTACATAAGCTAGGAGAAAATGTCGACGATTTTTTCCAAAAATACTTTTCACCGGTATTGATTCATGTTCCATGTGTTAATTTTGTCGACGATGATTTGTTTTCTTTCAGTGGACGTTCGTTTTTTACCTAGCCGAGGCAAGACGCCATATTCATCGATGGTGCCGAGGGATGGAAGCTTGGGAGGTAAATTAAACCGATTTGTAGACTTATTTAGATATACTTAGTGTTTTCTTCATTTTTTAAATAATTTGAAATTTAATAGAATTTGGTAGTTCTCCTTGCTCATTTTTGGAATTTTTTGTCTCAGTTTTTACATATAAATTGCTCACGAAGACTCCTCATGAACTTCAGTTTCATCATTCAACAACGAACAAGTGTTATTTTAGATTGTCAACATTTTCCCCACACTACACAGTGTACGTTACAGTTTAAGTTCGAAGTAGTCAAAGGTCGATCTTTAATATTTGTTATTGGGCAATTTGCTTGCTTGAAGTTACATCATCTTTTTAACTGAAAGTAACTGTTACTGAAAGTAATCGAACGACATCAATACCAACTTAGACAAAATATTTTCTCGGATGTTTATGTATGAGGGTGTAAAATTTTGACGATGATGTTATTGTCATATGGCTTTGGATATGGTTATGGCTAGTAATCCAGGGGAATAAACTGGGATAAAGATAAATAGGAGCCTTAGCAGAGATACTTTTTTCTCATGATTCAATTACTTGACGCGATCTCTGACAAACCAAGGAACTAACTTGTTTTTTTCTGTATTACAGATTGTTGTCAATACAGTCACCTACTGCTTCTTTGTTTGGCTTGCCTTGGAAATTATACGCTGGGTGATTGGATGGGCATTCTTCAGAGAAAAAAGTTTGTATCATTTGATGCTATTCATAATTTATTCATTGCATAAGGCACCTAGGATGTGGGCCAACATGGCACCATTTCACTTTGGCAAAATTATATAACATGTCTTGGCATGTGCAAATGGATCAATTCTGGCCAGCCATGCAACAACTTCTCCTGACAAAATTGTGAAACTCTCTATATCCTTACATTACCATCAAACAGGTAACGAGAATAGTCAAACTTATCAGGTAGAAGTTGTCATTTTGATCTAATCCATGAATCAGCGGCTTCCCCCTGGAGCCCACCCCCAGGGACCAAGGGGGATTTGTCCAAATGCCTGTTCAAACCTCATCAAATCCCTCCTGGATGTAGGGCAGAGGAATTCTGATAAATCTCCTGCCCCCTGGGTACAACAATAAGGACCAGTGTCCCCGTTAACGTACTTATGTATGAACTTTATGCCCAAAAATAAGCAATTTGCTTAGCACAGGCCCGTTTTAAACACTGAATTTCTCATGCGCCAAATCTAATGCTAATGAGAAAAAACTATTGTCCTTGCTCATTTGCATTAAGTTTAGCACATGTGAAATTAGTATTTCTATCTGAGCTCCAAGTGTTGTAAACAGGTTTGTTGACAAAGCTTGGTTAATTCAAGCCCTAAATCTGGTGTGAGAAGGACGCAAAGGGAATACTATATTTACCCGTGTATAATATGCATCCGTGTATAAAAATTATTTCAAGACATACACCAAGAATTAAAACTACTATTTTTTCATTTAATTAGCAGGAGCTGGAAATTCATTTATAATATGTTTACAACCATTTTGACAACAAATATCGCACGCACCAAGCACATAATTACAAGCTTTTCTATTCAATAACAGTCAAATGTTTTAACCAAAGTTGTAACTTGAAGTCCTTATTGATATACCAAAATTCACAACTTTCATCATCATAACAGCAATTCATAAACATTATTTCTACACACCACACTGCTCATAGCTTGATTATCATTACTGCCTGGCGTACAATTTAAGTTAAGGGATTTAGTGCCTTTGAATTAAACTATGAAACCTTGGAATTCCGACTCGCTGTCTGATTAAAATAGGTTTTCAATGACTGAATCATCAAGTTCATCAGTGTTCTCAGTTGAATTGTAGACTAATTCACCTTGTGTGCCATCCAAATTGTTTGTGATCCCACACTTCAGGAAAGAGGCAGTGATCATTTTGGATGGAATGGCTTTCCACGCTTGCAAAATCCATGAACAGATCAGTTCCTCGGAAGCCTTCTTTTACCGTCCAGTGGCGGTAAATTTGTGAATTCCATCAGCCATCCACTGTATCCACTGCTTTCAGACTCCATTTTTAAATGGTTTATTCAAAGATACATCAAGCGGCTAGGGAAGGGAAGTTAACCCGCCGAGAATCACAGCAAGAGTAGTTCTCTCACATTTGAAGGACGCTTTCACAGTATCCATCAAGTGAGCTTCAAATGAGCCGTAAACAAGCAAGCTTTCTCCTCCCCAGGCCACCGATTCACGCACACCACACTTTTTCGATCCTCACTTTTAACGTATCCAAATTAGTATTTGCCTCACAAACAGTGGAACCCGCGTATAATATGCGCCGCAATTTTGATGATTATTTTTATAGGAAAAAAGTGTGTATTATACACAGGTAAATATGGTATCTCTAACTCTTTATCTCTGGGAATCCTCAATAGGGTGGATCCAGAACCAATAAATCCCCAGGGTCTGCCCCGTGGGGTGCAATCTCTATGTATTTTCCCCTACACCCTCAGGCAACAAATATCTGACAAACTCAACCAATAC